TTAATTTTTGACTGTTTTAAAAATATTAAACATTTTTGTTTTAAAACTGCACAATAAACTTTAGTAATTTCTTTTTCTGTTACTAGTAACTTTTAAATTTGGTGTCTAGAAAATGTCTGTATCCATACACTTGAATTAAATATTAAAGTAGATGAGAAATTGTGGCTTCTGATAAATTTGTTTCTTTTCTTTTGATAGACATATAGCGTCTTTCCTGTCAATCTTCAAACTAGTATTAATAGGCTTAATAATTGTTGGCAAGGATCCTTTTGCTTTTTTTGGCATGCAAGCTCCTAGCATCTGGCAGTGGGGCCAAGAAAATAAGGTATGTAACTTAATACCTTTGGTAACTGTAGGTTTTTAGCTTGTCAATTAAAAGATTTTAATGAATTTTTTTGAGTACTTATTACTGATTCACCTGTTAATTTCAACTTATACCACTTTTATCTCTAGGCAAGTCACTTAACCTTTTTGGCCTACGTTTCCATGTTGATGAATTAAGAATGATTATGTATTAAACCTTTTTATTTTGGGGGGATAGGGAGGTATTACTTTAATAGAACCTGGGCATAAAATAACTTATTACCTGATTTTGATTATATTATTTAGGTCAAATCATATCCAGCAAAACTTAATATATACATATTGTAGGCCTTTTGTATCAAGTAATGCAGTATTAATGGGTTGATTCACATTAATAAAAGGGGTTTCAATGAATTTATTCTTATCAAAACACCTGTCTCTCTCTTTTAATTATTTGTCCTTTGACTCTTCTGTTCGTGGAGATCCGTTTGGCAAATTACTTGAATGAATCAATATAAATATACTTGTGCTACTTCTCTTTTCTTCTGTAGGGTCTTGCTGCAGCATACATTCTCTGTAGAGTACTCTTATTTTCATGTGTTACTTAAAATAATTTTTTCTGGAGGATCTACCATTCTGTCAGAAATTTTTATTTTTCTCTTAAGTAGAATTTCTTTTTTTTTTTTTTTGCAAAACAAGAGAATTTTATTTTATTTATTTATTTTACTTCAGCGTATTATGGGGGTGCAGATGTTTAGGTTACATATGTTGCCCTTGCCCCCCCTCGCCCCCCAAGACCGAGCTTCAAGCCTGTCCATCCCCTGGATGATGCACATTGCACTCTTTGTGTATGCATATACCCGTCCCCTACTCCCCGCTCCCCCCTGCCCAACATCCAATAAATGTTATTCTTATATGTGTACTTATGTGTTGATCAGTTAATACCAATTTGATAGTGAGTATATGTGGTGCTTGTTTTTCCATTCTTGGGATACTTCACTTAGTAGAATGTGTTCAGCTCTTTCCAGGAGAATACAAGAGGTGCTATATCACCATTGTTTCTTAAAGCTGAATAGTACTCCATGGTATACGTATACCACATTTTATTAATCCACTCATGTATTGATGGACACTTGGGTTTTTTCCACATCTTTGCAATTGTGAATTGTGCTGCTATGAACATTCAGGTGCAGATGTCTTTTTCATAGAGTGACTTCTGTTCTTTTGGGTAGATGCCCAGTAATGGGATTGCTGGATCAAATGGTAGCTCTACTTGTATCTCTTTAAGGGATCTCCATATTGCTTTTGAGTAGAATTTCTTAAGCTTTCTTCTGTGAAGTATTCTTTTTTTGAGTCCTCTATCTGGCCTTGTCCTTTAGTTCTAGGCTGAATACTATCAGCAGACTCCTTCCTACATAGTTGTACTTTTTTTTTTTTTTTT